GAATAATTATTTTTAAAATGCAAAAAACAATGCAGACACAAAATAAAAATACAAAAATAACAACATGAGCGTCACATCAAATTTTATTAACTTTATACTTTTTTTACTCCAATCGATGGTGTTAGGGCACTGGTAATGGGCATCACGCCCGGGGCGTTATTGCTACTTTTAACGCCAAAGGGGCAGCAAACACCGCCCCCTTGGGGCTTAATAAGGGCTTCATCCCTTGTGCTTCAAATATTTAACGGGCTTCAAACCTTACATTCTCTCTTTTTCAAAAAAACATATACAAACATAATTTTTTTACTCTATATTTTTTGTTTAATGTAATATTTTTTTTGTTTAATTTTTTTTAGTAATGTAATTTTTTTTTGTTTTTTTTAAATTTAACATACTATTTTTATTGACTGTATTTTTTATTTTATGAGTTATGTCAGTTTGCAATATGTTACTACAACTCGGATTTGAATGAAGATATTTTTAGTCGCTCGAATAATTAGTAATTTCTTTGCAGTGTTGTTTTTTTATGGATTTAATATTTTTTAATGAATGTAATTTTTTTTATGAATGTATTTTTTTATGAATGTAATATTTTTTAATCAATGTAATTTTTTTAATGCGCTAGTCTCCTTTTGATTAATTTAAATAATAAATTTATTAAAATTTATTAATTTAAAATTAAGAAGATGTATATTTAAAAATGTAAAAAATGAAGGTTTGAAGCCCCAGGGCTTCAAACCCATTTCCAATGAATTTTTGGTGTAAGTTAAAGCTGACGTGACAGAGAGAGAGAGTTTGAAGCCCCGGTTTGAAGCCCCGGGGCTTCATACGTATTTCCAGTGCTCTCAGTATGTCTATTTGTCAAATTACCGTAATTGATTTTTTATACTCCGTAATAAACCTAAACTAATAATTTTGGTCCGTTTAATTTAAAAGGTTTGATTTTTTTTGGAGAACATTATGGGAGTTAAAAAGATCAATCTTTTTTGTAGAGAGTAAAAACTAAATTATTTGGGAATTGGGCTTTAAAAATGGGTTTGAAAAAATATATTATCCGTTTGTAGATATATCTTGTAAATATTAATTTCAAACAATATTGTTTTAAATTTTTATTAATAATTAAAATTAAAATCAAAGATGTATATATAAAGATGACCAAATAACTCGTGCGTTTCCTATGATTTGAAAAATTAGCAATAATATCCTTTTGGTTTCAGAACTTATTTCTAAAGTCCCTATGGTTTTAAAACGTTGCACCTTTGCCCACTCTAACCATTTTCCATTTAATTTCCGGCGAAGAGAGGACATTAATTCCTAATTTCTCAACCATAGAGGGCACTCGTGCCCATTTCTTATATTTCATTTATTATTTTGTTCTCCCCCCTTTTTATAGTCTTTTTAGCTCTTTTTCATTTTCCAAGAATTTTTTTTACATTTCTTTCCAATTTTTATATTGTTTTAAAAAAATTCAAAATTTTTGAGGTTTGAAATAAAAATAAAAAAAATTAGCATATACTACATCTGTCTCAAATTAAACATTTTTCATTTTTTTCTTTACTAGAATATTTTTGGTAGGTTCAAAAAAAAAACTAGAATAAAAAATTAAAATTAAAATAAAAATATGGAAGAACGAATTGGATAAATTGAAACATGAAAAAAGGAGTTATACAAAAATAAATTTTCAAAACACCTAAAAAATTCCTTAGAATCTGGATGTTCAAAAAGGATGCATTTTATTTTTTGTTTTATTTTATTTCTTATTTTATTCCTCATTTTTTGAAGTTTACAACAAAAGTTTTTACTTTTTTATTTCAAAAAAACAAAAAACAAAAAAACAAAAACGGTTAATTTGAGACGTACAAATGTAGTATATGTTAATTGTTTTTTCTAACAAAAATAATTTTAAATTTTTAAAAAATTATTAAAATAATTTTAAAAAGAAATTTATAAAAACACTTGATTAATAAAAGAAACTAATAAGGAAAAAAAGAAACTAATAAAGAAAATAAGAAATAAGCACAAGTGCTCCCTATGATTTGAGAAATATGCACTAACGCCCCTTTTTGCCGAAAATATTACCGGAAAATGATCAAAAAGGATATGAGTGCACGTTTTGAAACCACAGAGACTGTATAAATAAGTTTTAAAAATTGAGTAAGTATTGGTGCCTATTTTCCACCCACGAGTGGTACTGGTGCTATTCGGTCATATAAAGAGAATGAATAAAAATGCAATATGCTCGGTAAATGTATAGACTTGTTTGCCAACTTTTTTTGGTACCCAAAAGTATGGAATGGTGTTACCAAAATGTCACGTATGCTAAATTTGGTACCAAATTGATTTTGTTGCATTCATACCCTCTATCCAAATGTACAAATTTAAGATGACTGTTTAATAAAAGTTGTATGTTTTAGGGCATGTCCTATATCATATGAACTTATTATATTAGTTCTAATCTAAATTTATTAAAGTCTGATCCAATTTGATTTTTTTATCTAATCAAATATATATGATCTAATCTCATCCACTTTCAAATAAAGTTGTTTCATATTTGATAGACTTAGTTTAATTTGATTTGATCTTAATCTTTCTAATTTGATTTGGTTCTAACAAGAATATGTAATATTTTTGCATCACATGAAAATATTCACTTTGAAAAGTAAAAAATGTTGTTAAAACTGGTTAGGAGGAAGAATTTCTTTAGCCACAAACTCTTACTATCTTCGTACTTGAAAATTTGGCCAGTTTCAACTTTTTTACAGTCATTCATTTTTAACCTTTGACATATAGTTCAATAAAATATATATTCTATATTAATTAGATAAAGTAATATTTTAAATATATTTTATATAGTTTAAGTTTGACAATTTTGATCAAAAAAAGATAAATGTGGATAAATATTTGGGATGAAAGAAATACTTTAAAGGAAAGAGACTTTTTTGGGAAGGAAAAATAAGGTGATATGATTTTTATGAGACAAAGAAAATAAGTAGTAAGAATATGCTAAATACGCATTTTGGTCAATATTTACTTTCTTCGTCTTAAAATTAAATTTTCATTTTAACTTTCTTGGTCAAAAATTTTAAACTTTGACCATGCATTACATAAAAATACATTAAATTTTTATATAAATTTAACATCAATAAGTTTATCTTGAAACATAATTTTGAAATATTTTTTTCTGTAATATATATTTATATATAAATAGAGATATTAATAGTTAAAATGTTAATTGAATACCGTGAAGAGCCAAATAAGAAATTAATTTTATGACATAGGAAATATATATACACACATACACACCCACATGATTCACCATCGTAGTGCCATCACACTCCACCACCACATTGTCACTCATCACATTGCCATCAGTCTATTTAGGGAATTGAAGATAAATTCTTGCATGAATCTAATGTCTATAGTGTCAATGGTGTCCTTCATACATGCTTGATAAGCATTCCATAAGTGTCTAAATAAATATTTTAAAAAAATAAAAAATAAAGAAATTTGTGTGAGAAGGTCTGTGTCGACCTTAGGTCCATTTTAAGTTCTCTTTTCTGGAAATTAAAATTATGTAACTATTATTTTAGTATTTTCACACTGTATTCATCCCTAAATGAATTATACCTTATGCAAAATGAAGTAAAAATCTTAAGTTTTTAAAATTTATTTCGTTTAAAGATTGTTATAAAAATAAAAAAAGAAAACTTACATAATTAAAAATTACATTAAAAGTTCTACAAAAACAAGAGTTGAGAAACTTATTTTATTTCATCATATTATCAATGAAAGTAAGAAAATTAATAAATACAAGTTCACGTGAGAAATTCATTTAAGTTCGAGTCCCAACGAAGGTAGATGCATTAGTTATTTGTGAGTCATTGGATTGAGAAAAATATGAGTAGATACTACATTGTAATCAAGTCAATAGCACCAAAAAACTATTTATATTAAAGATCTTAGAATTAAGGGATATAATAGTTAGTTTTTCAAAGGTTGTACACTTAAATGCTTAGAAAAAAGATGTGCGAACAAATACAAAATTATTTCCTTCGTCCCAAAAAAATAGTTCTAGTTACCAACAATCATACAAATATGCATTCAAACAAGTTTTATGAAAAATGACTTTTACAAAGGACAAGTCCCATTAGACTTGATCGAGCGATTATTGAAAAAGAATAAATAATATTTTATGTTTAACATAATTGCCTCACATTTGATAGAAATTTAACTCAAATTTATCTCTTTAGTACTCTCTATCTTTTTCAGATGTGTAACACCCACTGAGAAAATTATGACTTTTATGTTTATGAAAAGAGTGACCATTATGTTAATGAAAAGGAGGAAGTATGAAACATTTTTTTTCCGAGAAATGCTAAAGTCACAAACTCTTTGATCACAAAATACACAATCTTGCCATTTGTGTACCCCACCAAGTGAATTAAATAATGTTAAATAATTAAAAAGTAAACATTTAAATACACAAATGGCATGGCAAGGTTGTGTATTTTGTGATCAAAGAGTTTGTGACTCTAGCACTTCTCTTTTTTTCCAGGAGCAATGGAGCATAATTTGGAAATTACTCCGTAGTATAAATAGAAAAAATTACTGCGAGGTACCCTATATTTTGTGACAAGAACTGCCAGGTCCCATTATTTTTTTAAATGTACTCCGAGGTACTTTAAAATATCAAAAAAGTTACTTCAAGGTGACATTCAGTCATTTTCTCGGTCAATTCCAAATTTCCGTTAACTATTCCTCCTTCCCCATTTTCTATCTTCTTCTTCCTTCTTCTTCTTCTTCTTCTTCTTCTTCTTCTCCACCTTCGGATTTCTTCCAGTCCTCCACCCTCCCTTTTTGCTTCTTCTATTTTTTTTGTTTTGAATTTTTTTTTCTTCTTATTCTATTATTATTATTATCTATTATTAATTATTATTATTATTATTATTATTAAAATAGGGTAATTTTTCCGTATAAATATACCTGTTCCCCGTTAATTACCAAATTAAAAAAAGAAGTTTCTCCATGATTAGAACTCTGCATCCAAAACCAGAAAAGCTGCCTCCCCAATCTCTCTCTCTCTATGTAGACGTCAATGGCGAATCTGTTTTTCGCCATCTCAACGGTCCAGCCTAAACTTGCGTAACTGCCTCATGCTCATCACTAACTGTCTGGTAAGCTCAATCTATCGTTGTTACGTGTAATGCTGGCGATTGCTTGCTGATTTTGTTCCTCGATGCGTTGTGGATTTGATATGAAATACGATATCGATTGTGGTTTTGCAGTGTATATATTTGTATCTTGCTCCTTTGTCCTCTCTCTATCTCTATCTCTCTCATTATTAGCGTGAAATTTGGAGCTTTCTTTGCAGGTTGATCTGAGATTGTGATCGTTGGATTTGGCGAGGGATAAGATTCAATTGCACATCGGAAGTGGTTGAAATTTTGAAGAGCTGTTGTGGCTGCTTTATTACCTTTTAGAGGAGTGGTTCTCTGATCTGAGTTATGCTTTTGATTATGGCTCAGTGGCTCCCGGAGGAATGCTGAATCTTGGCTCCTTTTTTATGATCTGGATGGTTCCGGATGATAGGTTGTAGTATTTGTCATTCTTTGATGTCCAGGTTGAATCAATAGCTAATATTTGGTGGTTTTATTGGCTCTACAATTGAGGGGGCTGGCAGAATTTGGACATGAGAAGCCCTTGGTTAAAAAAACTAACTCTGATTTTTGGCCCTAGACCGCCGCTTAACTGGTTACTCTTGCTTCTTGTCAGCATCATTGTGTTAATAGCTTTGTTGGGATCATCTTCTTCTAGTACTTTCGATTCTGTTACCTCGACAGCAAAAGCTGACATTTATTCAAACTATAGAAGGTTAAAGGAGCAAGCGGCTGCTGATTACTTGGAGCTAAGAAGTATTTCACTCGGAGCTTACCATATAAAGGATGTTGGTCTTTGTAGCAAAGATAGAGAGAACTATGTGCCTTGCTACAATGTGACTGCAAATTTACTAGCTGGTTTGAAAGATGGGGAGGAATATGATCGGCATTGTGAGATTTCACGAGATTGGCAGCACTGTTTAGCACGTCCTCCTAAGGACTATAAGATTCCTTTAACTTGGCCTTCAGGCAGGGATGTCATCTGGAGTGGAAATGTTAAATTAACCAAAGATCATTTCTTGTCGTCTGGAAGTATGACAAAAAGGTAAATCTTATGTATTAATTGCAATCTACACAAGATGTTGGCACTATTAAATTCATTTAGGGTATGAAAATGTTTTTAGACGGTGGACTGAGTCGTCTTTAATAAATCATTTACTCTTTATAGACGATCCCTAGGGTTCATTTAAGGTGCTAGCTGGATGTGGAAATATTGTTCTCATAATTAGTAATGATGTTTTCTCAGGTTAATGTTATTAGAAGAGAATCAAATTGCTTTTCATTCTGAGGATGGAGTGGCTGACGATGGTGTCAAAGATTACTCTTACCAAATTGCAAAAATGATGGGGTTGGGAAGTGACCATGAACTTCTTCAAGCTGGTGTAAGTTTCACTTAATTATCTGTGAGAAATACTCGACTAGTATTAGGGTGTGATATTTTTTACCTTTTCTTCTTTACAGTTTACTGTTGTCCCCTTTTCTCAGAGGCACCACTCTGTAAATACCTTAAGTGCTAGTATATGTGATACTACCCCCTCTAAAAAAATCTTACAATTTAATTTTCACATAGTTTAAGAAAGTTGTTGAAAAGTAAAAAATGTATGGTTAGAATTTGTTTAGATGAGAGAGAAATATTATGAGCCACATATTCACTACCAAAATAGGAAATAAAGTAAGTCTATAGCTTTTTGGGATGTCCAAAAAAGGAAAGTTTAAAGTGTTTTATGAGACTGAGGGAGTCCGTGAATATACCAATGAAAGCATAAATTTGAACAGTTACACTTGGATGTAAGATATATCTGTGATAACAGGTGCAGACTGTGTTAGATGTTGGCTGTGGGTTTGGTAGCTTTGGAGCCCATTTACTATCCCTGAATTTGATGCCTCTGTGTATAGCCGCATATGAGTCTTCAGGTAGCCAGGTCCAATTAGTACTTGAGAGAGGGCTTCCAGCAATTATCGGAAACTTCATCGCAAAACAGCTTCCATTTCCAGCATTGGCGTATGACATGGCTCATTGTGCTCAGTGTGGAATCCTATGGGATAAAAAAGGTAGTTGTTTCAAAGAAACCCCCTTTGAGGTTATGGCTTATAATGAACTAGATCAATATTGACACTGATGATTTGCCTGTGTGAGGTGTGTCTATTTTGGCTGGTAATACATTGTTTCCTCTTAGGATTGATGATTCACAGGGGTCTATTTATAGATGTCTATTATGTGCATATTATTTTCAGAAATATTTGCACTAAATAGCACTAAAACTTAAGTCATTTACCTAAATAGCACTTAAACTGTTTTTTTCCCTAAATAGAACTTAATAATGTCCATAATGTCCAGTGATGGCGAACATTTACTTGAATAATGACTAATGGATAATGACTAGAAAGTGCCACATTGGGAAAAAACAAATTTGATGCTATTTAGGGAAAGTCATTATGTTTTAGTGCTATTTAAGTAAATTCCCCTTATTTTTATTCATTCACTCTATCTAATATTATGAAACATCCATTGGAAGCACTGCCGAGTCATTTGCTTATGAGATTATTCCTTGTTTGTAATTATTCTGTTTTTTTCTAGGAAAATCTAATATGGATCACTAATCACTTTTTTAAAACCATGAATCTAATTGTAATTTTGCAACCCAGATTGGCTATTCCTTATTGAAATTGACCGGATACTCAAGCCAGGAGGTTATTTTGTCTTAACCTCACCCGCAAGCCAGCGGCAAGGGAGTTCTATCAGTACTAAGACTGGAAGTGTGTCAACTCCATTTGAAGAATTTACCAAGAATATCTGTTGGAATCTTCTAGCACAGCAAGGAGAGACTTCCATCTGGCAGAAGACTCTTGATTCTCATTGTGCATCAAAGTAAGGCTAGTGAGAAGCACTCGTTAAAAAAACACACTAGCTATATTCTAGAGCTAATACGGGGTAACCTCTAGTTGTTTCTTTATATTCTACTCCCTCCGTCCCGCTATATTCGTCCACTTTTGACTTTTGGAACTGTTCATTTAAGCACTTTGACTCATCAAATTCTCTCAATGTGTAAACCTAAATATAGTCATGTGTGATCTTTTTTGATTTGTCTTAACATATAGATTATTAATATATAATTTCTATAATTTTTTAATATACAAATTACAAGATAAAATGGATTAAAGAAGTGTATTGGATGGTGTGTAAAAATGAAAGTGGACAAATACTCTGGGACGGAGGTAGTATATATGAACACGAATCCGCGCACCCCTTCCACCTATTGACATTTTTTAGTCACATGCTTGCCTTCAACTTTATGGATTCTTTTACCATTTGTTTTGCTCTCTTGATTCTATTCTGTTTGACTGTTTTATGTATACTCGTAAGCCAATCAAGCCAAATAATAATATAGTACTGGTGCTAAATTGCAGCACGCAAAGAACAGTGCCTGTTTGTAATGGAGAGGATTTTCAAACATACTATCACCCTCTTGCTCCTTGTATTTCTGGGACAACCAGTAATAGATGGATCCCAATCCATGTCGGATCTAAGTCTTTAAACTCAAGTGACCTTCTAATTCACGGCAAGTATTTAAATTCAAAATAACTGTTCCGTGTTACATGTGTTATTAGCCAAACTTTAAAAACTGAATATTCTGTTGTGCAGCAGGTGTTCATAATGACGATTTCTTTGAAGACTCGGAGTTCTGGAGATCTTCATTAAGAAACTATTGGTCACTTCTTTCACCATTGATTTTCTCTGACCATCCAAAGAGACCGGGTGATGAGGACCCACTGCCCCCATATAATATGGTTCGTAACGTGATGGATATGAATGCACATTATGGTGGTTTGAATGCTGCTTTATCTGATGCAAGAAAATCAGCATGGGTAATGAATGTTGTGCCACTGGGGATGCGCAATACACTTCCTCTTATAGTTGATCGAGGATTCATAGGTGTTCTACATAACTGGTAAATTCTCAGTCTGTTTCATTTAATATGAAATCTTTAGACTTGAATATAGTGTCATCAAAAGAAACTTTATGCTGGTGATCCCATTAAAGAAAACACTTCCTCCACATTTTACAAATGGAAATCCTTTCTCATGGAAAGTCTTATGAGTGAAAATAGTAATTTATTTACTAGCTTCCATTATATTTTAGGCATACTTTGCAATATTTATAAATCCCTAAAAGTCTACAGAGAAGATGCTTGTGTGTTATTGATTTTGCATGAAAAAAGTTTAGCTGTTTAGGAATTAACATGGGAGATTTATGTTACGTTTCAGAGCACATGTCATTTGGTTGTAGATGATAACACATTTTTTCTTTTGCTTCCACTAGTCATATACTTTGTATGTTTTCTCATAATGGTGTTCTGAAACACGTACATGAAAGCACTCAGTCACTCATATCTTAATCTGTTAATGTGTGCATGTACTTAAGTGGATATCTATTCACATATTGTTTGCATAAAGCCCCACATGTCACTGGTGGCATAAATGAAACTTCCTTCAAGAGAGTGTTCATAAAATTGTGCCAGGTGTTCATAGCAATGTTCATGAAATATGGTCGCTGGTGGCCATATATTCACATATTCTTGACAGCTGTTTTTGTATATTCTAAAATTGGGTCAGGTGTGAACCTTTTCCTACATACCCCAGAACATATGACATGCTTCATGCCAATGGACTCTTTTCACACCTTAGTTCGCAAAGCTGCAGTATGATTGACGTTCTTGTTGAAATGGATCGTATTTTGCGGCCTGAGGTAAATGATATTTCTGTTTACCTATTCTTTACTTTTTTGATTTGTTGATGCATCTAGGGACATATATATACTCCATGTCCCTACATAAAATTACCAGTTACTATTCTAGGGTAGGGCCACAGCAAGTTTTGTTTATTTATGTGTTTTCATTGGTATAGAACTTTTAATGTAGTTTATATACTCCCTCCGTCTCAAAATTATCGTCACGATTACTGCTCTGGTCTCTCGATAACTTTTATTTGTTTGAATGTTTTCTTTGATCATTTTATAAAATAAAATATTCTTGTCACCTCTTATTCAGTAGAACTTTTGGTTTAGTTTTTAAATACGGAGTATATGATTTGTACATTTTATTTTTATCCCGATCTGTAAACAAAATAGATCTAAATGAAATGAGATGTTGCACGTTGTTTGAAGTGAGACCCCAATTTTGGGACGGATGGAGTATATACAAGTTTTATTTTTTATTTCTACACCAATTTCCAAATAAAATGATTTTTAAAAACTACGGAAATCCCTCCAAAAATTTTATTTACGAATGGAGGTCGGAGGGTGTGTGTGTTTGGGAATTCAAAAAAATTGGATTTTGGCAAAACTCTTCTAATTCCTAACAAAGCCCAATTACAAATTTAGACACTCTCCCTTGTATTTTGAATTCCCGACCCCAGATTTTAAATTTGAAATTTAAAAATTCAAATGAATTCCTACTTTCTAAACACTACTTAAAAGAAAATGATTTCTAAAAAAGGTAGAAGTATCAATTCCAAATGGGTTCTCTTAATAACTGCTCCCCTACAACTGAATCAGTTTCAATCAATAAGCTAAAAGCCTAAAACAAACACATCAACTGTATGTGAATCGTTGCTTGAAGTATAAACCTTTGGTGTTATTATTATAAACAGGGATGGATCATTCTATCAGACAAAGTGAGCATCATAGAGAAGGCCAGGGCATTTGCCACACAGATCCGTTGGGAAGCCAGAGTGATTGACCTCCAGAACGGAAGCGACCGGCGCCTACTTGTTTGCCAAAAGCCATTCCTCAAAAAATAATATTTTTTTGTCAAAGAGAGTTTAGATATGAAAAACTGCAGCAGCAACGAGGTGATCTTCGGTTAACACGGGTAATTCTCTAGATTCTCTCTTCTTCTTGAGAGGCAAATTTTGTTCAATGGAGTCTCTGTCAAAAACACTCCCAACTCACAGCTTTCACATTGTGTTCCTATGGATGGGAGCCCAAAGAAGGTGGAATTTTACCGTAGTAATTTCTAAATTTTGAAAGGTGTAGATTGGAACTCCTCTTCAGAAAGTTAGCCCCATCGCAGCAATCGATGGGGAAAAAAGTTTTTTTTTTGTTTTTTTTTTGTTTTTTTGTATTCATTCATCCCCTTTTTTCTTCATTTTTTGGTTGGGTTTGTAAGTGAAATGAATGCTTTTATACTGAACATAGTTTTGAATGCAAGTCTATCATAAATAATATTTCCCCCATATTGGTTTTTCATTTTTTTGGGTCGTCTGAAGTTGATTGTTCACTTACTGTATCTAGTAAACAAATCATTGGGAAATGTCAAGATCGCCCTCTAAACAATAAGCATTGTGTCCATTTTATTCATTTATAGTTGGTTCACAAATGGGTAAATTTGTGCATTTTAGCATTTCTATGAGAGCCTGATTTTTAAAGGGGACTTTCTTTTTGTCTGAGTTCAAGTTTGGACTTTATTTTTGGTCCAACCATTCCTCACCAGTAATCGGACGATGCAAGAGAGGGAAAAGGAAAATGCAACAAAAGCGGATGCCTTAAATGCCCATTTTGCCCTTAGTTTTCTCCATTCTCTTTTTTCCTTCAAATCCAGAAATTCTTTGAATCTCCTCCTTGACTCTTCTACCCTTCTCGCTCCATTTCCCCTTTTGCCCTCCAGAGCCGTTTGCAATATCCCCAAACTGTCTTCTCCATCGAGTACATTCCCATCAAAGTCCTCCATTTGCATGCCCACTTCCCTCACGTGCGGCTCGCCGCCGTGGTCCGTACCGACCGTAACCATGATCGGGCACAGCGCGGGACCCGCACCGGCCGCCGGTAGAATCGAAGCGAACATCGCCCGCACTTCGTCGGCCGGCCAATGGGGCTGCACGAAAACCGGCTTTTGAGAAGACAGGTTCACGGCGCGCATGGAGGCCGGGTCAATTAATATCCAGCTCAAGGTCAAGTCCTCCATAAGACGAACACTCCACGTGTCAACTTCGTCGAGGCATCTGACGGGCACAAGGTCGGCGTCCCACGGGTCAACAAGGTCAACCCTGAAAAGCCAATGGCGGAACCACGCGCTCCAAGTTTCCGTCACATTGACCCCACTGAATATCAGCGCATCTTTGTACCATATATCGACGGCGGAGATCAACTCCACCGGTTGCGGCAAAGAGGACCCAGGCGGGCCCACCACCCCCGGGAGCGGGAAAGAGTCTGCAAAGAAGGCGCGTGGGCCGCCGTTGGGAAAAGCGGAGATGGCGTTTGTGATTGAAGGATCGGCGGTGGAGGGCCAAACTGAGTGGCATTTGTCCAGCCACAGCTCAGCTTGGGAGGAGAGGCGGCGAAGAGCTGAGGAAGCGGAGGCGGTGGATGCGAGTGTGGGGCCATCCAAACGAGTCAGGATATGGGTGGCTATTATGTCCGGGTGCAAGGCGGAGATGTCAGTCCCGCTGCCGCCTTGCTCCGCCGCGGTTGGAGGCGGCGGCTGAAGGGGATTCATTATATGTTTGGGATTCAAAGTTCAAGAACTTTTAAATTAATATACTACGGAGTAGTAAGAAAAACTAACGTAGTTATTAACTAGTTGTGATTTGTGAATATATGATGCTTTTCTTGACTTTATTGTACAAGCAAGCCAAGCTAAGCTTGGTCTACTATAGAGGACGATTAAAACAAACGGCATGACGCGTAACTGGTTGACGTAATTTAAATTAAGACATGTTCATGGTTTAACAAGAAAGTTCACAATTAAATTGGTTGATCGATTCTAAGTATATTCTTACTTTTTCTTACAAAATAAAAAAAGGTGTGATTTTTTTATAAAAAATACAAATATATAAACTATTAATTTTCTTTCTTTAGAAGGAAAGTAAAAAAGTATTCTAAGATGGTCAATATAAGACATGAAAAACATGGGATGGAGGAAGTATACCTCTGCAATTTTGCAAGATTTTAAATGTGTGCTTAATCATGGACATTGATGGTGGGTAAAAAAAAGAATATACGGTGTAATTTCTTTTCTTTTCAGTTCAGAAAAAAAATTTACCCCACCAAACATAGACTTAGCTCTTTGGTTAAAATAACATTGAACCTCAATAGCATAGCATGACATTGGGCACCTACGGTGCTAATTGTTCCTACCCCAAACCCCACCTCGGCCCCCTCCCCTTCCCAGATCGCCAAAATGCTGTAGTAAATATTGTAGCTTTCGGTAATCCAAGGGGAGAGCTAGGGTGGGGGGTTAGGGGAGGGGTATGAACCATTAATTTTATGAACGGAGCACTGTAGGTGCCCGGTGTCATGATATGACATTGGAACCTTGCCGACCAACTAAATGCTAAATTGCTAACTACCAACCGATATGTTTGCCTCGGTCGTCGTTGGGGATGAACAGAGTAGATACTTAGATAGCTTGGAATTCATCAAGTAGCAAATGTAGTTAATAATGCGATTTACTTACTTGACATTTGACTCTGCAAACCCATACTTCAATATATACATCTAGAAAACAGTATGATACTATGAAAGTAACCATCCTGAAAAACAAGGGTTATGATATAGTCACACCAAAGATGTCACCAAGGTTGACATCACCAATGTCTCACAAACAATGACTGTCTCATAGACATGGACTGCTTGTATGTGATTGTTTTTAGTAGTGTCGACCTTAGTATCACACTTGGGTTTAAAGTAGCATTTTCCAGACAACAAAAGATAAAAATTTGATGCTACCATATCCGCCTATATGATTTCACACCTCCCTTTTTTGCCTGTTAAGAATCTTCCTTGGAGAAAAAACTCGGCGGGAGACAAAAATCTTCCTCCTGGTTCAGAATTTCGGTGTCATCATCTGGCTCCTAAATTTATCCACACGCAAAAAGCAAGCATCAAAGATACTTAAAAGAAAATTTGGACGTATTGATGCACGAACTTGAACCATACAAATGCCAATGATTTTAGCAGAACATTGGGTGAGATAGTAAGGGTTACATTTGGCGGGAATGACTTAGGTTGCTCTAATTGTGGTTTAAATGACTAGACTATGCATATATAAAGAAACTTTAAAAAATGTAGAGCATTATTGATAACTTAATGAAAATTCAATATCCAAAGCATCAGGGCAAAAGTGTCCATTTCCTCTCATTTCAGTAAAAGTATTCTATGCACTGTTTTTCCCATCATGGACAACTCAGGCAGCTCAATCACAATAGTTATTGTTTAGTAGAAAATTATGCTTATAAGCAAAAGAGTTTTTCCACCAAATGGGGACTTAGCTAGTAGAACTCTGAATGTGCACCATAACATAAAGTTACTACCGAATGTTATGAGCACACTCTCCTAGTTGCATGAGAACCACACAGAAATGAATGAATGAATGAATGAATAGAGAGAACTAAATATTGTACAACAACAACAAACAAACAAACCTAGTAGACACCCGTAGAAGTAGAGTTTAGTGAGGGCGTGTGTACCCAAACCTTACCCCTACTTGGAAGTAGAGAGGTTCTTTCCAAAAAAACTAAAGATTATATTATTATTTTTACAAACCAGCATTTCCAAGTTGTAGAAGCGATCCAACAGCTTCAGAACTTCATCAGCACTGAAGTGCTTATTAAAACTGCAAAATGTTCCCTCTGTGTGAATGCCAAGGATGATAAGGTAAACATAAACATGTATGACCTATATGACTTATTTTTCTTCTTGAGTTTTTCTACAAGTAGGTTAAGAACGAGGCAAACCTTCGTCTAAGATATTCTGCTAAGCCATAGAGGACAAAGTGACGATGGATTCCTGCAAGAAACACCAAATCCACCTCAGCATCTCACCGAAAGAAGGAAAATGTGATCTTTAGGAGAAAACTTCGGTGTTGGGCATGCATATGTGATATGTTAGATGTCAGATGTTTGTGTAAGTGGTTTGGGATAGTTGTTTAGGTAAAACAGTTTGATGAGATGAGATGTTTGTGTGAGCTGTTTGATGTTTTTAATGTAAACAAAAAAAAATGTTGTCCCCAAAAAGGTGAAGAAACATTGGCAAATCAATATATCCAGAATAGCTAGGATCTTCATCAAATTCCAAACTCATGGAAAAATTAGCATCTATACAGAATTGACGAGTATTCAAAATTTGCCAAAACTAAGGGGCTTTTCTATCCTTTGTCTTCAGATTCATAGGGAAAAAAGATCATCCCAATTTTTTTCAACTTGGAAACATAATTGTGAGGCTCACAAAACTATTAATTCCATCCTTAAAAAAACAATCAATATCATGGCATGTTTGGATATGATGATTTGAAACAAACTTCCTGAAATTTAAACATAGGATTTCACTCAATTCTACATAAACTTAACATACACTTAGATTTAACATAACCAAAAAAACATGGAAAATTAGAGCACAAAATGGGAAGAAGATTTTCCTTGTAATTTGGCAGGATGATAGATTTCAAGAGCTTCCAAAACCTTCAGCTCCAATTCCACCTCCAGTTGCTCCTGAAATTCAGAAACTCAGTAAAAACACATAATTGATAGAATTCATCCATAGATGTAACCGAAATTATGATATATAGATACAGACACGCGTATATAGAGACAGAAAGAGAGACCTTGGAGAGAGATGAAGGCAGGGATTTGCAAGGGGAATGGACGGACAAGACGTCTTGCTCTTCCCGATCGTCTTCGTCTCTTTTCTCCTCCTCTATCACAATCTCTTCCCTCTTGCGCTTACCTTTGGCGCCTGTGTTTTGGCCCATTTCTTCCAATTTGCTCCGATTCTTCTTCCAATTTGGGGTTTGAACTCCCAGAAAGCTGCAGGTAGTGTTATTAAACCCCAACTTTTCTCCTTATCAACCAATTTTTCGTAGAATTTTATTTCTTTTACTTAATCTCTAATAATTCTATTATAATTATAACGTTTGTTTATATAGTCCGTATATTTTTTAGAAAAATACTAACGTAAGAGTAAAAATGTTCAAAAACTATTCTCAAATGTTCATATATAGTGTCATATTATTATAGTACAAACTTTTATTTTGAGAATAAAAATATAAAACTCTTATTTTAGTATTTTTTTCTATTTTACTCGTAATTAATGTGATTTCTTTGACCTATTAAAGTATAAAGAGTTATCGTCTCACTAAAGATTGAACATGTGACCTCCCATTTGGAGGTGTCACCTTATCTTTCTTAACATATTATAATATAGATAGTTAGCACCTTCACTAAAGATTGGACATCTCACCTCTCATTTGGACGAGTCTGTCGAGTCACTTTGGTGTCATTGGATCACAAAATCTTTGACATAAATTTTTAGTAAATTTCGTTTACCATTTTTAAAATTTTTTTATTTAGTATTAATATCTACCACAGAAAGAATACTTGTATAATGCAGTCATGTCAACTTTTGTTTCATATTATTTTTATGTTATTTTTTGCCATACAATAATTACTTGGTTTGATCCCACGAGAGTAGAGTCTGGAGAGGGTGTATGTACGCAGACTCTTTCCCTACTCGAAAAGTAAAGAAATTGTTTCCAAGACACCCCCGGTTCAAACGATATTAATGATAAAAGAGCGTAGGATATTCAAGGACACATAAAATAAAAAGCAAATAGAGGCAAAGAACAAACTAATGATAACAAAAGATAAATATTACTCTCTCCGTCCCAAATTATAATGTCTGTTCACTATTCACAGAGTCAAACTTCATTCACTTTCTTTTTCTATTTTCGTTAGCAATTTGATAAAATAAAATATTGTTGTCACTACTAGTTTTATAAATCTTTTGATGTAGTATTTTGATATGTAATTTTTATTTTTTAACCCTATACCATTTGTCATATAAAATGATTTGAAAATAACTTCAGTCAAACATCGTAAACCGAAACAGGCGTTATAAAATATGACGGAGGGAGTACAATTAGAAACAACTGCCACTGCACCTAGCTCAAAGTGTCTACCCAACTAGTTTAATCCTAGTCCCCAAACACATCTATAGTTGTCATATCCCCAATAAGGAAAAGAGATCTTACGTCCTCTCCAATTACTACCTTTTAAGTGTACTTAGGTCTGCCCCAAACCCTACTCTCACCAACTAATAACGTAAGTCTCTCACATATCTGCACTGAGGTGTTGGTATCTCGTCGCCTCACGTGCCCAAAACACCTTAATCTAGCTCCCCGTAGCTTATCGTCAACATGCGCCATGCATACTCGTCATCGAACAACCTCGTTTAGAATCCTATCTAACCTCATCTGCTCACACATTCACCGAAACACTCGCATCTCTGCAACATGCAGTCGACGAATGTGAATTTTCTCAATTGCCCAACACTTCAATCCACACCATACAACATAACTCATCTAACTACGGACCGGTAGAACCTACCTTTCATGATAGCCAAAATCTTTTTATCGAAGAGAACTCTTGAAACCAACCTCCACTTAGCCCACGCTGCTCTAACGCCGTGCACAACATCACCGTCGAACTCACTATATAAATCTTATATGCAAATTTCATACTCATTTTCATATAAATTAATAGCTTTAGTATAACCTCGTAAATCAGAATGAGAAAATCTCTTTTGAACGGAGATAGTATATTTTAAAATTAAAATACTCCATACAATATAAAAAAAATGTTAAAAAGTTAAGATTATATAAGAACCCATGCAAACACAGAATTAAAATTAGTTGGGTTAGAATTGTTCGTTGGCAAATTCTTTCCATTATGTGTTACGAGATTTAACATAAGTTATTTTCAATTCATATTTGCACTAAATAGCACTAAAACTTAAGTCATTTCCCTAAATAGCACTTAAATTGTTTTATTCCCTAAATAGCACTTAATAATGTCCATAATGTCCTGTGATAGTGAATATTTACTTGAATAATGACTAATGCATAATGACTAAAAGTGCTATATTGGGAAGAAAAACACATGTGGTGCCATTTAGGAAAGGTCATTATGTTTTAGTGCTATTTAAGTAAATTTCTCTATTTTCAATCCAAAAGTTAAAATTATATATTATTGATTTAAACACTATTTAAAAAATTTTACAGATCAAGAGATGACATCACTTTATTATTTTATAAATTAAATAATGAAAATAATCAAACAAAGTAAATAAAGTTTAAAAAATATCACTATGTAAGAGTAAAATATCATCAAAATACCAAAATAACGGTGACACTATTTTTATTCCTAAATAGAAGTTTGGCAGTATGAATGATGGTAGTGTGATGATCGAGTGTGGTGGACCATCGGTCAACGGTACGATGGTCAACACTTGCGACGATCCTTCGAGGATGCATGGTGGCGCTTTGGTGACCCACAATGGGGCTCGTGTGACAATCATTTATGAACGAAATGAAAAATATTTTTTGGGCGGAAGAAACAAACATTTTATGAATTTGAATGTTTGGCATAAATACAGGCAGTCATAACTCATTCACTGTCTCGTGGGCCGTGACAAGTTGGGAACAAAGTTAAGGACTTGACGTGACTTGTTCACAGTTAAATTCAATTTGGTTATGTGATTGGTAGAAGTTTCATTGGAGTTTCGAAGAAGTATTGTTGAAACCGAAATCCCAAGCCCACGCTCCCGCCTTGGGCCCATATAAATGGCGACGGAGACTCCCAGTGGACAGAGAGGGAAGCAGCGGAGGAGTGCCAGGCAAGCTAAGCGACTGCGGAGCCGCCGCCATGGATGCGCATCAACAGCAGAGAGACGCTGCTCGGCGCGATCAGCCGCCTCGTGCGGCCGGCACCGCTGCCGGCGGAGGCGATTTAAGTCCCATTCTCTTCGTGCTCTTCTCCTTCCTTGCTATTTTCGTCATGGTAACTCCCCTCTCATGTTCTTATGCTCGAATCTCTGTGCTCGACTGCGCGAGCTCAGTGATTCCGGGGGATATAAACGTGATTTGTTTTTGCTTCTCCAGATTTTGTATTGTTTATCTTTCAAACGTTATCGATACGGTGTTTGATTTGTGCATTTCTACCTTTCCTTGATTTGAACAGTGCTTTCGCGTTAAGTATGGAATTCCATTTATTGGCAGATTAGTTTTATAGTTTATCTTATTCTTAACACTTGGCCAGATCATTATACGAGACATTATTATAAGCAATTAAGCATTAAGAAGTGTATGGACTGAGCTGGTGCATTTATGATTTGAAAGGGATGTTATCTTGATCCTCTTGCAGTAGCTTTGCATTAATTTCCTTGCTGGTTATAACTCTGAATGATCTAAAGAACATGAGCGCACGATAGAATATCCAAAAATCACTTGATGGTTTCCTTTTTCGAACATTTACTTCGACTCACATTGGGATGCTCTTCAAGGGCTAGTTTAGTAATGAATTAAAGTTCATCCATTTGCAGGTGGTGGCTCCTTCACTGTCGACTAACATCTTTTCTACCTTACATCAAGTTCCAGAAGGTCATGTTGGCGTCTACTGGAGAGGAGGTGCACTTTTAAGCACAATAACAGACCCAGGTTAATCGTGATTCTTTATTATTATTTTTTGTTTACATTTAGTTTCCACTTCCATTGCGTACAATGAATTCTTCTAATCTTTATTTTTTTGTGATCATTAAATATTCGTGCTTATTTTCAGGTTATCATTTGAAACTGCCTCTGATTACTCACTTTGAGCCCATTCAAGTAACTCTCCAGACAGATTTGGTAAGGTTTTCTCTCAATAACTTTTTCTTTTGTTCCTACTGGATGCTGTTTCTACGTTTAGCTAAGAGTGTTATTGAGTTCTTGCTAAACTGTAGGTGAGAGATATTCCATGCGGCACAAAAGGAGGTGTGATGATCAACTTTGAGAAAATTGAGGTATAACCTTAGAAATGAGGTCTCTTCGAACACATCCATTCTAATTTTCTGACTAATGCTGTTTTTAAGCCATTGTTATCTCCTCACTATGTGTTTAGGTCGTTAACCGCCTTCGTAAGGACTATGTGTATGACACTCTGCTCAACTATGGAGTGAATTATGACAATACATGGATATATGACAAAATCCATCATGAAATTAATCAGTTCTGCAGCAGCCACAGCCTTCAACAAGTTTATATTGATATGTTTGATCAAGTAAGATATATACATTTACGTGTTGTGTATGAGATTCTGAGTATTTTTTGACAGAGAGGGTGTAGATAGCCCTGACTGTGACTCTGGTTCAAGTCAAGACATTGAATCATGAAATAAGGGCATTAGAGGCATTTTACCATGTCCCGGTCATCTGAAAAGAATTCTGAGCTGGGTGTCCGTATTTTAAGAAAATCAAGAAGTTGATAACAACTTTTCATGGCTAATTTTACTTAAATAGTTCAATATTTCTCATCTGTGACTGATATTTCTTATGCACAACCTTTTGCTCAATCAAGATTGTTTATTTTTAAAGGAAATGGAAACGGATTCACACCTTCTCCGCAGGATGTGCTAAATAAAAACGTATTTCTTGTTTTGTTGAATGCTACTTTTGATAACTTTACTGAGGTTCATTGTTAAAATTCCTAGATTGACGAGAAAATGAAGGATGCTCTTCAGGCTGACTGCACACGTTATGCTCCTGGCATTGAAATTATTAGCGTGCGTGTCACAAAGCCAAAAATCCCAGAAAGCATAAGAAGAAACTTCGAACACATGGAAGAGGAGCGCACTAAGGTGATACATCTAAGAATGTTATCCATACCATAATTCTCTATTTCTTCCATTTCTTCATTTAGACCAAAGATAACATAACTACATGAAGCAGTACATAAAACATTGCTAGTCTTTTTTTGTATTTAGCTTTTATAGTAGTTTCACTAGAGATGACTAATGCATAAGAAAGATTGCCGTGGAAAATTGCACGTTTAGCCTCTCAATTGTTTAGCATTATGCAATCTAGGACCTATTTTTCAGATTTCGTAAATTTAGCCACTTAATTGTTATAATTAAGAGTCCTTTTAAACCATTAACCATCATTTAGTAGCAAGGTTTATGAGGACATGCCTGACAATATATAATAACTAAAAATGGAGAATGTCCCCCCTGAACTCTTATACTTAACGGTGTAAAACAGTGATCTTAGTGCAAGGCTCTAATTATCTTAGTTACTTAATTCGTCCCAAAACAAATGGCACTTTTTCCTTCTTGGTTTGTCCCAAAATAAAAGTGCGTTTCTTTTTTTTTATGTGGCTATCATTATTTTTCTTGGTTTCATATCGATCCTAACCACACATTTCATTTTTCAATACTTCTCTTAAACTCTATGAGTTTGTGATCAGTCAAAGTGGAATTTCAAATTGGGATGGAGGGGATATAATATACTCCATAACAACTAAGAGACTAAATTTTTATGCTCCCTCTGTCCCTTTTATAATTGCTGAGTGTAACTAGACACTCAATTTTAGAACTAAAATTTTTGGCTTTGACTTTCCATTTTTACCAATAAAAGTGGCGCCAAGAGAAAAAAAACTACCATATTGGACCTAACAACAGTTCGTTTGTTAAGAAGCTACCTCAGATGGCTTTGCTATCTCTCATTCAACTTCCTAATAACCATAATCTTGAGCCCTAGACCTAGGGTTGTTTAGGGTAATCTTTACAACAACCTTAGCCACTATAACATTGATTGGATCAGTTGAAGGGTGAAGAAGGCATTTGAAAAATTTAGTACACAAAGCTTGATCCCTGTATGATTGTCGCTCCAAATGTGTTTAGACAATTTTCATGGAAGTCATGGGTAATAATTAATGCATGCTATCACACATAGGCATGGAGAAGCTAGTGGGACATATCTTGCTCTCATTTTGTATGTACACATACATGGATGTTTTGAGGGAGGTAATGCAGGTGTTGGAAGAAAGAACCTGGAATAAGCTTCCATACACTAAAGAGAAGTTTGTGTAGGGAGATAATACAACTATGTTGAATGATGTTTTATAACAATGATGTTTTGGTAGTGTTTTGATGTAAGGCCCGTGTATGAATGATGTTTTATGGGTCCTGAAACTGTGCATTACACATGGAAAGCTTTGGTGCAATGGTAATGTTTAGGACATAGGGAAAGTGTTACATGTACATTAGTACATGTAAATTGACTGACTACATGTTTTGTTTGTTTGAGAGAGAGAGAGAGAGGGTGTGTGTGTGTGTGTGTTTCCGTGTTCTTTCTCTTCTTTTTTTGGTCTTCTGTTAGTGATATGGAACTTGCTATTTTTCTGTACTTGTAAAAAAATTTAGAAAAACTGGTGACAAAGAATGCTTCACATGTAGGTGTTGATTGCTGTGGAGAGACAGAGAGTTTCAGAGAAAGAAGCAGAGACACAAAAGAAGATTGCTATTAGTGAGGCAGAAAAGAATGCTCATGTCAGCAAGATTCAAATGGAACAGAAGTTGATGGAGAAAGACAGTGCAAGGAAGGAAGAAGAAATTGCTAATGCAATGTACTTGGCTCGTGAAAGAAGTTTGGCAGATGCTGCATACTATAGGTGAAACCTTCTTTACGTTTTTTTGTTTGTTTAGCCTCTTCTTTCTATAACAGTGTTTCATGAGCGCTAATAAGATGATGAGCCTTGCATTTCTGTGGTCTTTATCAGCACGATGAAAGAAGCAGAAGCTAACAAGTTAAAGCTCACTCCACAGTTTTTGGAACTCAAATTTATTGAAGCAATTACAAACAACTCAAAGATATTCTTCGGAAACAAGGTTGGACCACATTTCTTCTGCTCTCTATTCATTTTCAAGTGTTCCAGATTGAAATGGTTAAGATGTCTTTAGAAGGAAGACGACTGCCTGATGTATATGCTTCTCCTAGGTTGTGTGTACCTCTTGAATTCCTTCTCTGCCTAGCTGCCTGATAGGTCTCTCCCGCCCAAATTGGGACGTACCGGGCATAAATGATCTCTTCACACCTAGAGAGGCTAGAGATAGAAGTAAATTCCGCTTACATCACATTGCCCCTCATCCGATTGGGATATACCGGGCATGTTTGGTTTGACTTGCGCAAAATGTTAGTGTAAGACCACCGTCTGGTCCAGTTTTGCATCTTCATAAACTTATGGGGTTTGATGATTTGCAGGTGCCAAATATGGTACTCGATCAAAGGATTCTGGGGAACTTCTTCCAAGAGTAGGCATCCATCCTGGGTAACTCAGTTGTGCGTGGACGTGCTATGCAACTGCAAATCGTAGAAAATAAATACTCGATGGCCTTTTTTGCTCATAAGTTTGAGTGCACACTCCTGCTGGTCCCACATACAATGCTCATAAATATGTGTAATTTCCTGCCCCATCTCTTAACATATTCCTGTGCTGAAATTTGTTTGTATCCAAGTTGGTGATGAATGAAATTGTTTCTGTATCTTCAAGTGCTGTCTCAGGATTTTCTCTGCTGCAACTTCTCTAAATGAAATAGTTTCTGTATACTGCTTGCAGAGAAATTCCTCTTGTCTACCCCTTGCATTTTCAAAGAAGACCCACATTATGGTTATGCCATCCATAAGACCCACATTATATTATATTATGAAATAAATAATGAAAATAATAAAACAAAGTAAAAAAATTTGATCGTTTGAAAAATGTATGAGAAGAAAAGTTGACAGAGAAATAACAATCATTGTTTAGTAAAAACTTTGTTTAGTAGGACCTTAATAAGCCAAAATTAAGGTCTCCAATGAAATCTTCTTCCATAGTATTTTCAAAATTTGGTAGTTAGACAGCCCACTATAGATTGTAAAGTCAACTCAACCATACGCTTTGTGAAATATATGCTACTTTGACCCATGAATTTGGTCTTACTGTCTTTGATGTAACACACGTCTCTCCAAGAGCAACGCTTATTTTGTTTAACTCTTCCGTCAACCAAAGATCTTCTCATTACGTGTTACGAGATTTAACCGATTTTATTTTCAATTTAATTTATTTGATTAAAAAGTAAAAATTTAAAAATAAAATTTATATAATAAAAAAATACATGAAAAGCTTTTCAAAATAAATGGTATTATGGTATTTTATAAAATGAATAGTAAAAATAAGTAAACAAATTGAGTTAGGTTTGATTCTGTGAATAGTATTTGAGAAGATCTATGACAGATAGAGAGAGTATATGAACATTAATTGTTTTTAAAGTGTGTAGTGGTGACATTCAATTCAAATTGAAGATCTGAATATCAACAAAACTTGGATATTATTTTTAAAGTGTGTAGGTGTGACTTTCCATCTTTACATTTAATGTGATGTAATGAAATGAATAGCGTAGATGATAAGTAGGATTGTAAAAACACAGTCATTAAAAATTTTTTGCTAAAATAAAAAACAAGAAAGAAATTTATAGATGATCCAAAAAGGAAAGTGGGAAAGAGAGAAAATAATTAATAGACAGATGGAATATATAAAAAAAACAGCTAGTATCATCCTAGCTTTTAATAAAACATAAATAAAAATATCAACAATTTATATTTATATTAAGAGATGTAAACATTCTCGTGTTACATTATTTTGGAATAGAGAAAATACAATTCTATAAAAATAATTTAGAATATAAAAGAGACAAGTTTTTATAAAACTTTCTCTAGTTTAAAAACACCGAGTAATAAATTTGTCTAGGATATCAAATTCATAAGGAATAAATAAGTATTTTTTCGTCCCATTCGATTTTTCACAATCACAATTTTAAAAGGTCAAATAATTTTCTGTTTCTTCTACATCCCTCTAGTAAAGATCTTGTGTTTGGCATTAATGTGATTTAAGAAATGTTTTGAAAAATGAGAAATGTGCGGTTAGAATTGACAAGAGGAGAGAGAAACCACGTACGGAGTATTTTTTAAAGGAAAGCAAATTTCTTTTTGAGACGGGTAGAAAAAAGAAGAAAGATGAATTATATTTTAGTCTATCATTTGACAAAAAAATTATACGGAATATAATTACGGAACAAACAACAAAAATGGACCCCAAAAAAATATACTGATATTTTAATTGTTCAAACTGACAAAAAATGTTAGTTCAATTAAAAAATTTGCACTGATATTTTTTGTCAATGTAAGTGATCATACTAACATCACACTAGCACAAAATGTCAATGCATACATTTAGGATACATCAGAGAATATGAGTTAATAGAGATTCCCCCAGCACTCTCCTAAGCGAATCTCAGGTAGTTATCTCCTCCCTAAGAATCTCTGCGGTTTTATTGATTGACCTCTCTCTCTCTCTCTCTCTCTCTTGTACTACTACTAGTTGCGGTTCTTGTTATTATAACTGCCTCCTCCGGAAAATCCCACTTTTCTGCCTCCTATGTTTTGTCTGATCCATTGATTCTTCAGATTTTCCAAATTTCTTGGAGCGGCGGTGAATCTCATTCAAGATTCTATAATCAATCGATCCTAGGTAATTAACTCATATGTTCTTCTCATGATTCTATCTCTGCTTTCGTTTCTACATGTATTCATATTGCCTTGAATCATTCATTTATGTCTGTTTTTTCCCCCCTCTTTACTGAACTTGTCCTTTTGTTATGTTTGTTAAAAGGGGAGGGGGTAGTGAAAAGATGTATTTGGTGGAGAGCAAAGGAGGGGCAATATTGTGTATGGTGGTGGCTCTTCTGTTCTTGGGGACATGGCCAGCTCTGTTGACCCTGCTCGAAAGGCGGGGCCGTCTCCCTCAACACACGTACCTCGACTACACACTCACCAATCTCCTCGCTGCTCTCATCATCGCCCTCACCTTCGGCCAGATGGGATCCGAATCTCCCAATTTCCTCGCCCAACTCCCTCAGGTCACCCCTCATTCAACTCTTGCTTTAATGTGTTTGAGCCATTGTGTTTACTTTGTCTGTGTTCCTGCTTTCGAGCGTTTCTTGGAAACAACCTCTCTGTACCCTCCTCAGACCCTACTCTTGTGGGATTTCACTGGATTTGTTGTTGTTGTTGTTGTTGTAAGATCTTATGCTGAATTGGGTAATCGCCTAGTGGATTCACCAAAGTGTCTTAGCAAATCGTAGGCCAAAATCCATCATTGGTCCTTCAACTTTATGAGTTGTGCACGATTGGTCCTTCAAGTTTCAAAAGTCCGTAAATAGTCTTTCAACATTATGAGTTGTGCACGATAGGTCCTTCAAGTTTCAAAAGTTCATAAATAGTCTTTCAGGTACACGTCAGCCCTCTAAATGAAGTCCTTTTGACTATAAATATTAAAAGCTAAATGAAGTACTAGTTCCATATAATATGAGTAAATTCCACTAGGTAGAACTACTCTGTATTACCGTCAAAAGGACCTCATTTGGAGGGCTAACGTGTACTTGAAAGACTACTTATGGACTTTTGAAAATTGAAGGACCAATGGTTCATAAGTCATAACTCATAAAGTTGAAGGACTATTTATGGACTTTTGAAACTTGAATGACCAATCCTGCACAACTGATAAAGGTGAAGGACCAATAGTCGAGTTTAGCCTAAATTTAAGTTCTATCAATGACATGAATTGCCTATCACGAAAAAAATTCTTGTAGGAGAATTGGTCGAGCGTGTTGTTTGCAATGGCGGGTGGGGTGGTCCTCAGCCTGGGGAACCTGGCAACTCAGTATGCTTGGGCATTGGTTGGTTTGTCAGTAACTGAGGTTGTCAGTTCCAGCATCACTGTGGTTATAGGTAATTAAACCCATATCTTTTCCACAAGGCTTAAAAAAAACTACTTGACTTTCTTTCTGTTGTTCTTCTTCTGATAATGTTTTTGCCAATGCCATGAACTTATAATGACAGGAACAACATTGAACTACTATTTGGATGACAAGATCAACAAGGCCGCGGTTCTTTTTCCCGGCGTCGGCTGTTTCTTGATCGCGGTTTGTCTGGGCTCTGTCGTCCATGCATCTAATGCCGCGGATAATGACAAAAAGCTCAACGGTTTCTCGTACGATTCTAACCTCACTGCTTTGTATGTTTCACCAATGAATATAGTCTATTGCTTGTTAGAGTATATAATCATTTCTCGGCATTAATTCCTTAACGTGTTATCGAAGCCTTGCTGATTCTTAAAATTTGACCCAGTGAATAGAAACTGTGGTTATTGCATAGGTTTTAAAATTTAAGTATGTTCTTCATTGATAGGAACCCCAGCTCATCTGTGTCTGGGGAGGCTCATAAGAACTCAGGTAATGTGCATACTTTGGATTTTCACTGTTTTTTTTGTTTTATTTATTTCAAAAAAAAAATTGATGAAAAAGAAATCTACAGTTGGGAATAAAGATTTGGAGAATGGAATTGCTTCTGTGGAGAAGGCAAAGTTTGGGACAGCACTCTTCCTCATAGAGCTTGAGAACAAAAGGTCAATTAAGGTTGTCACTTTTTCTGCACCATTACTCTTTTATTCTTTACATATTTTTTTGGCTAAATTGCAATTTTTGTCCTGTAAATACATCCCCTGCAAAAGAGTCATTTTTGCACTTTCAGCCATTTGAGCACTCAAATCGCCAAAAAGTGCAAAAACAAGACTAGTTTTGCGAAAGGCGCTACTCACAAGATAATTGGTTTTGAGTTGAAATATCATAATTCTACATATCGGGCGAGGGCGAAAAGAAAATATAACCCCACATTGAACACTTAGACTACAAAAAATTACTCCGTAATATATAAGAAAACGAGTTACTCATCTCATTGCCAATTGGTTTTGGATTGAAATCTCTTGATTCTACAGGCCATAGAATTGAAGAATATTCGCGGCGTTTCTTCTTGTTTGGTTGCAGGTTTTGGGGAAGGGAGCTATGATAGGTCTGGGGATAACGTTCTTCTCAGGGATTTGCTTTTCTCTCTTCTCCCCGGCGTTCAACCTTGCAACAAATGACCAATGGCACACACTAAAGGATGGAGTTCCACAGTTGAGTGTCTACACAGCTTTTTTCTACTTCTCACTCTCTTGTTTCTTTCTTGCTATCGTTCTCAACGTCGTTTTTCTGTACCGTCCCGTGCTTAACGGGCCCAAATCGTCCCTCAAGGCCTACTTGTCCGACTGGAACGGCCGAGGTTGGGCCTTGTTGGCGGGCCTTTTGTGCGGGTTCGGCAATGGGCTCCAGTTCATGGGAGGCCAAGCTGCTGGATATGCTGCTGCTGATGCAGTTCAGGTTAGTCCATCCGTCTCAAACGCTTTGCTTGCTCAGCTTAAGCCAATTACATGATTTTTGACCTGACAAAAATTGACCCGAACTGTTCCTGACCTGACTCGATATCTGACCTTAAAGTACTGAGTTTTGAACAACAAAGTAGCCTGAACTTGAATGACCCGAACCAGAACCCAACATGACCGACAGATTTGACAGCTCTAGATGAACTCTAACATTTGATATTTGTGATTTCAGGCATTACCGCTTGTGAGCACATTTTGGGGTGTGCTTTTGTTTGGAGAATACCGAAGATCGTCGAGAAGAACGTACGCGTTCCTGTTTGGTATGATATTTATGTTTGTGGTGGCAGTCGCGGTTTTGATGGCTTCGGCGGGGCATCGGAAGTGATGATCAGAACTGGAAGATCATGTAATTATATGTATAAGAAGGCTCTATATAGGCTGCCAAGATGTTGTTGGCTTGAAGGAGAAAGGTAAAAGGTGTTTGTCTTAGGTATTTGTGTGGAATATGAAACCAAAACATAATTCTTTTTACTAGTAAAAAAAGTTCAGCATATTCAACTATATTCTTGTTGAATAAGTACTAAATTTAAACATACATGGCAATGCAATTTACTCTTTCCTCCCTAATGATGTTCTGCTTTTCTATTTGAATTGTTCTATATTCTGTTTTCAATTTAGAATTATGTGGTTCATTTTTTCTTTTAAGTAAACATTAATCACATTATTTTCACTTTATTAAAAATGTGTGAAATCAAATTCAGAATATAATTTTGGAACGAATGGAGTTGGAACTAGAAAGCTACTTTACGCAATTAAAGATAGATGATGACCTAATCATATAAGAGCATTCACAATGGTAGCATTTCTTACTAGATGTTCAAGTGTGGGCTCTACTTCAAAAATGCAAATTGAACATCTTTCTCAATATCCAAATCTTTTAATGGTGACATCTCATATGGATGACTCATTTTATTCAACGAATGTATTGGGTCCACATAAATACAATTATATTTTGTTTTCTTAATTATAAATATTTATTATATGATAAATTATTAATTACGACTTAAACTGTTTATTTACTCATAATTATCAATATTACCTTCGTCTTAGAATATTTATCAAATTATGACTTTTTACGTTTAAAATTAATAAACTTTGATCTTTAATTATATAAAGTTTATATTAGACATCTTTCAAAAAAATTCTTAGTCTTGATGAAGCTATTCCTGTTTTTTTGCTTCCATTTTGTAGTGAAAAATGTAATAATCTTAATCAAAATAGTGGTAGCACCATAATGATAAAAAAAACGCTAGAAGGAGGGCTTGAACCTCCGACCTTGTGGTTAACAGCCACACGCTCTAACCAACTGAGCTATTCCAGCTTGTTGTTAGGTATTCATTCTTTGTATATTTAATATAGTCTTAGAATTTAAATAACACAACATATCGTCATTTTGGTGTTCTCTGTGGTGATCTTCCACAGAAACGCAGAACGAAGTGGGAAAGAATGTGGAAAAGAACTTTTCGTCTGTTCTCTACAGAGGCGGAAACCCCATCCCTCTACTCATTTCTCCGGCCATCAATCTTCTCTCTCAAAACTGCTCACCCGCCGTCCTCCGCCGCCGCATCGAAACCCGCCGACGCCACTAAAAAATCCCTAACCCATGACCAAAAGCCCAATCTTGAGGCTGCTCTTCAAGCCTCCCTCACCGCCCACCACACTGATGAGGCCTGGAAATCATTCAAGACTCTCTCCAACAGTTCTTATTTCCCCAGTAAGCCCTTAGCTAATTCCCTCATCACCCACTTGTCTTCCCTCTCCGACACTCAAAACCTCAAGAGGGCATTCGCGTCTGTGGTTTTCTTGATCGAAAAGAACCCAGATTTGCTCTCCCATGAAACAATTCGACACTTGCTGACTTCCATGAGGAATGCCAACACGGCGGCGCCTGCTTTTGCACTGGTCAAGTGTATGCTCAAGAATCGATTTTTTGTTCCTTTTAGCGTATGGGGGAATGCCGTTGTTGACATCAGCAGAAAAACGGGTAATTTGGCTTCTTACTTGCCCATCTTTTACGAGATTTGTTCCGTTTCTATGGATGAGCAATTGTTGTTCTTGAAACCTGATTTGGCTGCCTGCAATGCTGCTTTGGAGTGTTGCTGCCGTGAGGTCGAATCCGTCATTGAGGCCAATAAGGTTGTTGATACAATGTCAAGGTTGGGTGTTAGGCCAGATGAATATACTTTTGGATTATTAGGCTATTTGTATGCAAGAAAAGGGCTAAAAGCGAAAATTGCAGAGCTAGAAGATCTTATAACTAGGTTTGCATTTCCCAGTAGAAACATATATCTTAGCAGTTTGATTTCTGGATACATAAAGTCGGGCGATTTAGAATCTGTAACGGCTACGGTCATACATAATTTGGGAGTCAATGGAGAAGAAGGTAAAATAACTTTAAGTGAGGAAACATGTGCCGAAATCGTAAAAGGGTTCCTTGACAATGGTGGAATCAAGAGTTTGGCTCATTTAATAGTTGAAACACAAAAGCTTGAATCTTTTTCAGTTACGGCTGAGAAATCTTTTGGGTATGGTGTGATCACTGCTTGTGTTAACCTAGGATTATTGGATAAGGCACACACCATTCTTGAAGAAATGAACATTCAGGGAACTAGTTCATGTCTCGGCGTCTATATCCCAATACTAAATGCCTACTGCAAAGAACGGAGAACGGCTGAAGCTACTCAGTTGGTTATGGAAATCAGTAGCTCCGGACTCCAGCTAGACGCTGGAATCTATGATTCTCTAATAGAAGCTTCCATGTCCTGCCAAGATTTCCAGTCAGCCTTCTCTCTTTTCAGGGACATGAGGGAATCCAGAATATCTGACCTCAAAGGTAGTTATTTAACCATAATGACCGGCTTAACCGAAAGCCACCGGCCCGAACTCATGCTGGCCTTCTTAGAAGAAGTCGTAGATGACCCGCGGGTCGAATTGGGTACCCACGACTGGAATTCCATCATCCACGCCTTCTGCAAGGCGGGAAAGATGGAAGATGCCAAAAGAACCTTCAGGAGGATGAGTTTCCTGAGGTTTGAGCCGAATGGGCAAACATATATCTCTCTGATCAATGGGTATGTGGCTGGGGAGAAGTACTTCAATGTTCTTCTGCTGTGGACTGAGGTGAAGAGGATGGTTTCGGTTGAAGGGGAGAGGAGACTGAAACTGGACAACAGTTTGGTGGAAGCTTTTTTGTATGCTCTGGTGAAAGGAGGGTTCTTTGACGCCGTGATGCAAGTGGTGGAGAAATCTCAAGAAATGAAGATCTTTGTGGATAAGTGGAGGTACAAGCAAGCTTTCATGGAAAAGCATAAGAAGATCAGAGTATCAAAGCTGCGAAAAAGGAACACGAGGAAAATGGAAGCACTGGTTGCTTTCAAGAACTGGGCTGGTCTTAATGCTTAATGGCATAACTACCCTTATGGGTTCAATGATCCTCCGTAACGCCACATGATTGGGATTTCATTGAACTTTGAAGTGGTCTCGACCGTTCATTGACATATAGCCACAGTTTACTGGTTTTTCTGAGGTGCAGGGTTATGTTGGGAAGAAATGGTGCTTTCTTCAAGAGGTTTTTTGTATGTGCCATATGTTTTAGCATCAAGTTTTCACCTCTTGCAGTCTTGCAACTGTTAAACACACATTCTGCATTTCTCAGTTGAATATATTGACATTGAATACATCCATCATTTCTATGTAAATGTTTATGTTTGGAGCATATTGCTGCACACTGGTTCAGACTTTAAGAGTTTGGTTGTTTAGAAGCTTGTCACCCAATGATGGATCCAAGTTTTTCTAACATGATAAACGGAATCATTGGTGAGTCCACGGGTTGAAAGGGTATAGCAGATTCGATATAAAACAAATCCGATCTGGACCCGACCCGTTGACGGTTCTAACTTCTAACTTTGTGAACATAAATTTGGTGTTTGAAGACATAGCACCAATCATGGGAGGTCTATCACACAATAAGAAAATTGAAAACACAATCACCATTACCAAATCTCTCATTCTTTGTTGTGTTGCCCTAATTTGTCTTAAATCTTAACCCACATTGTACTTTACTCTATAAAACCTCCCTATTATAAGATAAATACTTCTTTGGTTCTAAGATAATTTTGTCTGTTTGACTTTTACAAATTTTAGAAAAATATATCTTCGTACAAATACAAAAATGTATTATTAGAGTGTATTTAGATGATAAAGAAATTTTCTATGCTTACATACTTCCTCTGTCCACAAATAAACTTCTCGTTCACTATTTACAGGGTCAAACTTTATTCACTTTGTTGGCATATTTTCGTCACTCATTTGATAAAATAATATACTCATGTCACCTCTAGTTTTGTAGATTTTTTGATATAGTTTTTTAATATGTAATTTATATTTTTAAATTTTATATCATTTTTCATATAAAATAATTTGAAGATAACTTCAGTCAAACATCGTAACGCGCAACGGGAAGTTTATTTGTGGATGAAGAGAGTATTTATTACTAGAAAAATACTCCGTACTAATTAAGAGTATTTTTAAAACGCCCAAAACAAATTTTCAAACCATCGATGCAAAAGGGAATAATAATTGCGCTCTCCAATCAAATGGTTGTAATCCGACTCTCGTAAAGGTATATTTACAAAACGTAAAATAACTCTTTACATAATCTGGAATATGCAAAGCATTTCAACAACGGGGTCCTTAGCTCAGTGGTAGAGCATTTGACTGCAGATCAAGAGGTCACTGGTTCGAATCCGGTAGGGCCCTTTCTTTTATTTCTCCACTCTTTTTTATCTTTCAAAGTTCTACCCACATAAAGCAGTAACAGAAATGCCTGCAACAAATAAATGTAGCACAAATCCTTTTATAACCATATAACAATTCAACATAAGAATTTGTATATATAGTACACTTTATAATTTTCTAAAGAAAAAGAGGAAGAAAAAACCAACAACAAAAAAATCTACTCTCTGCCCATATCAAAGAATGTACAAACACCATATCTTGTTTTTGTAACACAACATTTTGGCATGAGCACTTTTGTAACTATAATAATCTCAAATCTCTCTATGTCACGGGAAGGGAGACGAGGAGGAGGCGTAAGGGTTGACAACGATATGCTTGAGCGGGTGGGCCACGTCGGCCCCACCCGCATGCCTCACAAACTCGGCGGGTGAGAGGAAGCTTCCGTGGCAAACACACATTATTCTCACTTCTTGCCCTTTCCCGTACTTGTACAGTATCCCGTCCACTCTCCTACCGTTAGGACCATCCCCTTTGGTGAAGACGCACGGCATCTCGTCCATCCCGGGTTTCCGTGCTTTCTCGCTTGTACTCACGGCTTTGTCGGATGTACTTTCCATCTCGGTTCCCGCCATCCTACTTCCCACATTTACCGTTTTAACCCCAGACGTACCGACATCCTTCTTATGCATGTCTTGTGTAGACTGGTAACTAGTTGGACTGTGCTCACAAGAACCTGTAAAAGTACAAAAAAAAAGGAATAGAGGGAAACATAAAGGGTATTTTACAAAAGGCTTATTTCACCGGCAACTTCACGGAAAATCATTGTCTCCGCATAATTGTCAATGGTGGTGTCAGGCTTGAGTTTTATTCCTATAAAAGTAGCATTTTCCTTTACAAAAAAAGGACAAAAAAAAATCCCAAATGACTAATTCTGTCAAATGCAACACTTGTCACATTGTATGGATCCTTTGTCCCCTTTGACATCTCTTTTCGTGTCACGTCCCACCATATTTTGACACGTAGCAGTGGTTTTCGCGATTTTTAGGTTCGAGTTTTTCCCTTGCCACGTGTCAAAATGTAACGAAATAGAATGACATAGGTGGCCTAGGATCAAGATTGCTTATCTAAAAAGAAAACTCCTCAAATAGGAGTAAAACATATGTTATATTCTCAAATAGGAGTAATTAACTTATTTAAGTTTTGGCCGAGATTTTCTCTCTCTAAAAAGGCGTCGTCTAGATTGCCATTACCCTTGAATTTGTGATTCGTTTTTCTTGATTTTTAGCTCTTTTGGATAATCTTCAGTAGCTCTTTATGATTCTGAGATTTTCGCTGTTGATTTAGGGCTGAATCGAGGTCAATTGAAGTTGGTATCCCTCGAAATCACTATTCATCCTGATACTTTGTAGGTCTGATTTTGATGGATTTTTGGCTAAATTGAAACCTAATTCTTGAGGGATTGTGAGCGGCTAGTTTAGACCATTGAGATTCTTAAGTTTGTTGATCAATTGAAACAAATATTCTTGATTTTGGCCAAGATTGGGTTTTGGAGCACTGTTCACAGTGTGACTTGGAGTTCTAATCATGAGCAGGTTTTTGGTGTATCTCTTCTCTGTTTTTCTGGTGTTTCTTGGTAGAATTCAATGGTGTTTCTTAGCAAATTATTTTATAAAACTAGTATTGAAATTGAATGATTATGGTGTTGGCAGATTATAGAGTTTCTTGACATTTGATTTTTTTGGAAATTATGCATTAACATGTGTGATATGTAACATTATACATGGATTATACATTATCATGTTTAGCATTATCTAGGTGTGCCGACTATGAATGACAAGGTCTCCCTAGATGAGGTGGTGCACAACCAGCTATGAGTGATACAATGACATATTTGTTCTTAATCTGTGCAATATTTGGCTTTTTGCTTCTCTTTGACATTATATAATGGCATATTTGTACTTATTAGTGGCTATGTTAGGCATTATAGATTGTAATCTTTGGTATTGTTGCATTGTATAAAGAGTATTTTTTCTTGACAGTCATGATAAAACCATAATACTACATACGACAACGATGGCACATCCCGGTGGTGTTGGCGGCGAAGGAGGCGAGCTTGGTGATGTAGGAAATCATAGGCAACACTCGATGGCACGATGTCAGGCACGACGATAGGTCATGATTAAATGCCGGTGGTGTTGGTGGCGACGGTGGCAATTTTGGTGATGTGAGAAGTCACTAACGATAATATATTGCACGCGTGGGGGTGTGGAGGCAGTTCTTGGTGGCAGTGAGTGACCGTTGCACATTTTATGCTAGATTGTTGGTTGACAAGCATTAAACAACCTTCCGTCACCCTCTTTACTTGTGACAACTTAATCACAAGAATATTGCTAAAAATTGAGTAAGAGATCAACATGAAGGGAGTACATGAGAAGATTAATTAGATTTTTTTAATTTATTAAATTTATTTGGATTCATTAGTGGAATTACTATTTATTTCATGTAGCATGAATGTTTGAAACATGGATTTGCTCTAACAAATTAAATTTATTAAGTGTGTGTCTATGTAAAAATATATTTATACCTAAAAATATTTTTAAAAAAATAGAAGAAGAAGAAAGTGTATATGCTACTGTTATGTCTATTATGAGAAGTTACAAATCTAGAACCATTACTGAAGTGTTGTCCACAATGTTTTGGTTTCATTCAACAAAAGGATCGCAAGCTTCTCTGCTGATTTTTCCCTACTTTGTGTTTCTTTTTTTAATTGTTGGACAAGCTGATTAATTAGATTAATTAAACTAATTACTCCTATTTAGGGGAGTTTAAGTTTCAACTCTTATTTTAGGGATATGATATATGTTTTACTCCTAGTTTGGTCCTTTTCCCGCTTATCTAAAACCTATTATTTAACCTAACTACTATAAATTGACCTCATTCTCTAACAAACAATATGATGCCAACCTTGAAAGATTTCCCACTACCCCTATAAGGTTGTTTCTACTCAAAGTTAAAAAGCACTTGGTTCTAGTTTATGAATAACAAATCAAGAATTATCAATCCTTTCAAATTAAGTTAAAGGTGAAAAATCATTATTTTACTACAAAATAGCAAAGTTTCATCCATTTCACAAATAAATCAAGTGAAGTCTTATGTGGTTGTTGCTAAAAATGGATTATGTGAGTTGCATTTAAAGAACTATGGTATTGCACATTTAATAATCTCATAAAAAAACTGTTAGAACTTAATAACATGTTTCCAAAAAACAGTAAGAATAGAGGGTAATATAATTAAACAAATACCTTGAAGAGATTTACTTTCAAATTCAGACATGGATGAAGAACTACCTCCCTGAGATTCAATTGATCCTTGGGGTGAAGGTTTCAAGGCTTTACTAAAATCGCCTCCTTTCCCCTTCTGCCCCGCCGCCGCCTCCCAAGCCGGAAACCCCAAGGACAACCCGAACAGCTTCGGCGCGGCTGAACACAGCTCTTTCTCAAAATTCTTCTCATCTTCCATGGCGGCAGAGATGCCTCTCTCCCCCCTTGAAATTCTCTGCTTCTCCGACATCCTTCTCTTCGCCTGCATTCTCCTCAGGCTCTGCAACTCCTTCCTCTTCCTCCACTCCTCCTCCGTCTCCACCGGCAGGGATGACGTTCTGGCTATTCTATTCCCCGCCGTCTCCGCCGCCGCCGCCGCCTCTGGCGGCGGGTCGTCTCTCACGCTGGGCAAAAAGGAAGCGACGGAAGAGGACCTGCCCAGACTCTTGGAACTTCTGTCCACCCCAAATCTGCCTCCCAAAGAAAGGCCCAAATTCAATTCGATTTCGGTACCGTCTTTTGCCGCCTCCAACGCGTCACCTACACTGGCTACCATGAACCTCTGCAACAAATCCCTTGAAGAACCTGACGAATCTGAAGAAAGATTCCTCATTCTTTCCTCCTCCCTTCTTCACTGTCTCGAATCAGCAACCCAACCTTAAACCCGCCGAAAACTCGAGTCTTTCAACATGCACATGCGCTTTGCAGCAATTCAAGAACACCCAGATGCAGAAACCTCTTCTTTATCTGGATGTGACCAAAAAGATTGAATCTTTATGCTATTTCCGGCTTCAAATCGACTGCAAAAACAGTATTCGCGTGGGAGGAAGCGGGGATATCGCCGGAAACCGGGACGGCGGCAAGATTCCGGCGAAAAGGCAGGGGAAAAGTCAGGAAAATATGAAGAAGAGGATAGAGAGGGGGGGTGTAGAGAGAAAGAAAGATGGGGAGCGGGGAGCGCGGAAGTGAGAGAAAGAGGGCGTGTTGACGAAAACACCCCCGGATTTCCAGTGGGGTGGTGGGGGGGGGACGAGGAATGTACTTGGAAAGGACAAGTTGCGGAAGCGAGTGCGGGGAGAGGTTGACACGTGGACCTGACTAAAATAAACCTTTTTTGGTTGGGTGTCTTCTCCTTCTCTCTCTTTATGATTTACAACTTCAAGCCCGCATGGGTAGCTCAGTTGGTCAAGAGCGTGAAAGCTTGGAACAATGACCAGGGATCGAGTCCCGCAAGCGGCAGTGTGGGAGCTATCCAAAAATTCCATAAAGGGTGAGGAGGCTCTTTGTGCGCAGTGGGCACGGGTCTAGCGTTCTTGGCTGACTGAGTCACCATGATTTACTTCCTCCATCATTCCTGTCGGGCAAGGGGGTGAGGGCGCCTGGGGTGGGCTATTCCACTTTTGGAACAATGATTTACAGCTTCGAGAATGGACATGTGGAGGAATGTTAAGGTGCTGTCGACCACAGCGCACACTTGCGTGGACAAGTTGCCGGTGGCCCCCCTTTCTTTCGTTTTTAATTGAAATTGTAGGATTCCACTGCAAAGTCGTCTCTTCTTCTTTATTGAAATTGTTTTCTATACAAAATTTAAAAAAAATATATACTCCATATGACGAATATTTATGCAGAAAGAAGAAACAACATTGTGTTTTACTCCATCTATTCAAAAAAAAAAAAATTACATTCTTAATTATTCAAAAGTAGTACAAACTTTTATTTATTTATGCATTTTTACTGGTTATTTGATAAAATAAGATATTCTTCTCATTTCTTATTTTGTAGTAGAACTTTTGTCGTAATTTTAAAATATGTAAGTTTTATTTTTAATATCCATTCCAATTTTTAAATAAAATAAATTTGAAAATTTGAAAATTTACTTCATTTTGCGTAAAGTGTAAAACATTTTGGGATAGAAGAATTATTTATTTTATTGAGTTTTCTCGTCATTTTTCCTTGAACTCTTCAAAAATTGCGTGGATCCCACATGAGTTTTAAAAAATTGTACCAATGGTCCTTGATTTTTTAAAAATGTTGCATCAATGGCCCCTTTGTGATAGATTTGGCAATGCGTTAATAAAACACTCATGAATATGCCTCTTGGAATTAGAGGAAGAGGTTGATCAATTGATGAAAAACTTGATCGACTCATACCCGGTCTTCGAGTTTGGTTGTTGCTGGCTAAAATGAGAATAATTGTTTAGGATTTCGGGAAGTTAAAAATGTAGAAGACTATGTTTGGAAAACATATTGCAGAACTCGCGTGTCATACATGAGTTTAAATGAACCCATGCTTGCACTATTGGATGAACGTGTGATTAGTGCACACACAAATTTGGCATATAGGGGCTATTAATGCAATGTTTTAAAAGGTTCAGAGATGATTCGTGTAATTTTTAAAGTTTAAAGAAGATCCCTACAATTTTTAAAGAGTTCAAGAGTAAACAGTAAAAAACTCTTATTTTTTCTTAATATAGAATGAACATTTATTTTTAGACATTTAAGCCTAAAGAAGATTAGATATATAGAGTACCTATATCATATATCTGGATGTACGATATTTCTCGTACATCATATCGCATGAATACTCATTGTCGAGTAATTCAATGCTCATTTCAAGCATAACTGATTTTTTAGAGAAATGAGTATTCTGTTATTTGAGAATGAGTGAAACTTGCTCAAAAATGATCATTTAGAAACTCGTAAATGAGCACTCGCTGTGGATGTACGGAAAACACGGTACAACTGGTAAGAGTTTGTACTAAGACTACACAGTGTGGGGTACACCAAAGGTAAGAAAATTAAAAAAAAATAAGTAAAAAAAATCAAATAGGCAAGAAAATTAAAAAAATAAGTAAACAAAAATCAAATACAAATAAGTAATTATGGAGGGGGTGGGGGACAAATGGAAAGGTGTACCCCTAGCATCTCCCTAAATATTACTCTTACCTCTACACAAAAATAAGGAGATAGTTTCTTGGAAACCCCCAGCTAAAGTATAATCACAATAAGAGCACGGACAAAGTAGTAGCAAAGAGCAAACGAAGGGCAAAGAAGAGCACACAAACTAACACTAGCAATTAGATTTTGTGCAGGGAGAACACACAAAGGCGAGCAAAAATGCATTCGCAAAGGACTACCATTAATACCTCGAAGTTCACCCAACTACTCTAGTTCTAGATCTCTATATGTACCTATCTAAGAAATATATACGAAGAGTATTTTATGTCATAGTTGTACTACCATAAATCAAACATGAGGACAACCTATGTACCATTTTGAAAAGTATAGAATTAATGGTCCACTTTTGAAAGTTCAAGGATCCTAAAGACATACATTTATGAAGAGTTTGGGTAGAAATAATACAAAAAACACTCAAATTTAAATATATACATATTTTTTTTGTACTCCGTATATTACTCAAAATATGGATAGCGTAGTAAACGATTATTCAATTGGTTGTGCATGCAGATCGGATGTTAAACAAATTATGTATAAAATTTCGAAATTTGTCATTGCCAATATGGTCGTTTTAATAAAATACAAATAATATGGTACTTTTTAGTACTCCGTATTTTTTTTAGTATTATTGACTCTATTTCATTATAATATCGTACGAACCTTTTCAATACTCCGTATAAAGGCATCCCCGATGCAAGGAGTCTTGAGACTGTTTTCTTTATTTAAAAGAAATTACTCTAAATAAGAGTAAATATTAAAAAATTTAAAATATTAAAAAACACTAATTAAATAATCACATAAATAAATATGTAGAAAAATTATAATTTTAGCTGAAAAAGAATTCATCATTATTCATGTTTAAGGTGATATGTTCTAAACATATACTCCGTATAATATTATTGCATATTCATCATATATAAATACTATTTTTAAATCATTATTGGAAGAAATTGGAAGACATGGAAAGAAATTGAATAGAGTTAAATTTTTGCAACACAATAGAAGTCTATATTGGTCATGTTGTACTTTTTGATACCATTAACAGTTCCTAAATAATCATAATACAATCGCAGTTCCTAAATAATCTATTCGAGTAAAAATTTGGTGCCATGATAAAACAATGACTAGCTGAAAAGAGCAGTGAGTGCAAATATTTTTTTCGGAGACAAATTTTTTTATAATGGGCAGAAACAATAATTTTTATTGTTCATAACAGATGAATGAGGGGAAAAAAATAGCTATAAGTGAAAACCAAAACACTAGAGCATTTCTTTAACGTTTTCACCATCTCAGGCACACACACACACACACACACACTTCACATTGTGCGAGGTTTCTGATCATTGTGTGGCCCTCCCCCTCCATTCTGCCGCCTTGGTTCATTCCTCTCTCCGTCACGCATCCGCCCATCTGACCGCCCATTTCCCTGACGGCGATGATGATCACCATTTCCGTTGCTAGTCCTCTGATCCACGCCGCGCTGACTGTTGTTTCTGTCAATGTGGCTTTTCTGGCGTCTCTTTTGATAAATGGTAAATCCATCCTCGTCTATCTCAGGCGCCGCCATTCTGCCATTGTTTTCCTGCTGGCTGCTGACGTGGCGTGTTTTGCCGTTGTCAGTGCTGACGTGGCGCGTTCTGCCGTTGTCGGTGCTGGCGTGGCGTGGTTTGCAGTTGTCGGCCTGCTGGGTGCTGACGTGGCGTGTTCTGCCATTGTTGTTGTTGGTGGGATGGTTATTGACATCGCCGTTTTGGGAGCGGTTAGATTGGCCGTTTTGTCTGGCGTGGCGAGGACTGTCGCACGAATACGCTGACGGGTCACGACTGGATGGGGTCCTGCTGTGGGACCCGCTGCCTCTGCCCGTTGGAGACCTGCCGCGGTTCTCGTTGCCACCATTAGAAGCTGCACAGCATAATTACGGGTTCGCCCCCATCATTTTTCGGTCACGACAAGGATCACGCTATAATAACACCACGCTACATACGGCATTCTTCTTAATTATGATCTTTCTAAAAATAGTTGTCAAAAAGCATTGATTTTGTTGATATTTTTTAAGAAAAAGTGGGGGTTCCTATGAAAAATTATGCAAGGGTTGGGTTTTAAATGTGTCTTTTTTTAAAAAAATAAAACTTAATCTAAAAGGTGGTTTTTAAAAAAATATATAAATGCATTTTTTAACATGTGGTTTCACAAAACGAGATGCGTTACCTCTCTTAGCAGATGACTTGTATGATATACGAGCTTCCTTTCCTAGTACAGTGATGACTTTAGCCTGAGAAGAAGAGTTAAAAGCAGTTTACAACAACATTCCTATATAGAGTTCACCAAACAGGGCTTAGATGAAAATGAATGGGTTACCTCAACTGCCTTCTTTGCAGATTCTGCAAACTGGAAATGAACAAACCCAAAAGAGTAACTTCCATCTGCAGCTCTAATGACTTTAACACTATCAGCAAACTTATTCACTCTCCCGAACACCTTCACCGCAGACGCAAGATCTTCTACGCTTGTTTCCGGCAACAACCCCCCAATATAAATGCCCTTTGCTGGAAAAAACAGACAATACAAACACATTTTGTTGGATTTTTCTGTTGTTCATTTATCAAAGAATAAACAATGGAAAAGAGATGATAAATAATACTTACGGCCTATGTTGTTATTCTCGCGTACACTGTTTTTTGGGGAAGGAGTTTCGGGTTTTGTCTCGGAAGCCGAAGTCATAGCCCTCCTTGAGCCATTTTGCAGAGCTCTTATTTTGGCCTTCTCTTCCTCAGGGAGGAAAGCCAGCGCAGAAACCCTGACAATATTAGTAGATGGTATGGGAGAAGAGCTCGTTTTGCCCTTCGAAACCTGTATCAAAAATACATTACGCTTAATTTCATTTAATAATTTGAGAAATACAGCATATATGTCAAAACATTACCATTTCT